TAGCAGGAGATCTTTTAACCGTGGCGTGCAGAATAATCCTGAATCTCTATAATGATACACGAGGGACGAATGATACGAGTCGAGTGAAATATAGAGCGCAAAGTTAAAGGGATAATCCTGTGTGTTTTTTCTTTCATCATATCGGATCACGATAAATCCAGAAAATTATTCAGAGGAGACAATGATTAATATTGAAAAATTTAGCGACACGAACCGTTTAAAAATTATTATATTTGTAAATTATTATAAATGTAAATATCATCTTACGTTATTCATTTTGAAATATCATTACAAATTGTGGGTTTTGTAACCGAAACATATTCGAATATTCAACTTACACATAAATTATATATCATACAATATATGCTTAAATTTTATCTTTATATATATATATATATTATATCACATCTTTGCACTAGTTACGAATGAAATTTTATCTTTTCGTGTAAAAAAACATTAGAAAAAATTGAAAATATTATCGTCAAAATCTATTCGAGGGATGGAGGAAACTATGCTATTGAAATCTCTTTTTGATTCATCCCGATATCTTAATCGGTTGCCGAGATATAACGAGTCAAAGTTTCTTAACGCAATGCAGAAATTATGAATGGGGGATCCGTGACCTATATTTTTTCCTGGAAATGCGTACTACGTTCTTCCAAGAATCGTATTATGCTTTTTCATCACTTGTCTGAAGTTTGGGATAGGTCAGTGAGACGAGAGCGCGAGCGAGAGATTCGAGTAAGTGATAAGAACGGAGATAGTAAACGATTAAAAATTACCCTTTTCTTTACACAACGATATCTCGAGAACCGGAAATCGTATCGAGATAAATCAAAAAGGATTTTATAGAGCAAGGTTTTGCGCTTCTAATCATCGTTCATTTGTTCGCCGGAAATCATTATCTTCGAAGTTATATACGTGTTCAAATTTTTCCTAATTTTAATAGGCTAATCGTGTTTAAGGTAAACGATTAATAAAATTACTTTCTCTTTCCAAAACGATATCTCGAGAACCGGAAGTCGTATCAAGATAAATGAAAAGCCATTTTAAAGAGCAAAATTTCACGCTTCTTTCGATCGTTCATTAGTTAACCGGAGGTGACAATCTTCGGAGTTATAACGGTTCCTAATTTTTCCTAATTTTAATAGAAATTTAATCGAGTTTTACGCGATAAATATATATATTTAATTCTGGGAAAAATATCATTCACAACGATTTCATATTATAGTCTACATCGATTTAAAAAGTCCTTTAATTATACTAAATTGCATTCTTATTTAATCGACCGACTCGAGTTTAAATAATTACTGGCCTCAATACGCTGACATTTGCAACATTAATTTCGAATTAAGCAATAATAAAACTAAGCAAAGCTAATTCGATGCAACTAAAAAAAAAAAGAAAAAAAAATGATTCCAGCCTTCGATAAGTAGATATAAGTAGTAGATATTAATAGGCGAGAAAGTCGATGTTTCGGTAAAATGTCATTTCTTTTCCCCTCCCCCCATTTGGATCCACTTTGTGATGTCGCGGTTGCAGCTTACAGGGGATGAACGGTACCAGAGACGAAGCGGGCAGGTTGTCGTCTGACGGCGCGTTAAGAGAATTATTTATTGGCACGATTGGCGCCTGGGGAACGATTAGCATACTAATATGCCCGGTAACAATTTTCCTCGCCACAATCTCTCGCGTTCGTGTTAATCTGCCATTATTAAATTATTGCGCACGGGAGAACTTTGTGGCGCACGGACGATTATCATTTATCAATATCACGGGGACAGCTATGGCGGCATTAATCGGCCGTGAATATTCGTACGTCGGCACGTAATGCTGGTGCAAGATAAAACTGGTATGTTATCGGCCCGTTTTAATAAGGATAGCGAATTCTTGGGTGCAGAGACCGTGGCGATGATCGGGATCAAGCGCTTCCGGTCAGAAATTGATCCGATCCCCCCCCCTCCCCTATATGTAGCGGTATAGATTATTTCGAGGTGAGAAACAGAGAGGCGTTTAGAACCAATTAAATAGAAACGGATATGTCGCAATTATTCAAAAGTGCGACCCACTTCGATGATTTTAGAGTCGAGGAAGAAAAGATTGATACGAGTTTGAATCGTGAATGGTGGTGGATTACTGTAACGATTTCTTCTTTTTTTTTTTTTTTTTAAGATTCTATCAAATTGAAACGAAATGCTTCGTGCTATCTGTAGAATCACATCTGTTCCGATCTATTTCTTCCAACGAGTTTTGGAAAGGAAGTTTTTCTCTACGATTTATCGCGATATTCCATTTTCCAAAGAATTGTTGTATAACCTCTTCTCTTTCTCTTTTGTGTAAAAAAAGAGAGAGTACATCAACCATGGATAATAAAAGAGCAATTAAATAAGAGGAGGTTTAAATCAACCTCCTACGTGTGTAACCTATTTACATACCAACAAAACTCAGCCGTTCCTACGTAACACGACTAACTTCCGCATAGTTTGCCACAATTATCTCGACGAGACAAGTACACGTGGATAATATTCGTATAAATTAAAATTTTTTTCGAAAATCACTCGCGAAATCTTCAATTCGAAATGAAATGCAGATACGATTTCAACGAGAAATGGGTGATTTACGCTCCACTGTATAATATATTCGATTTGTTACAAATGCACATACCATGGATTTACATGTATTTTAGACGAGTTCTATTTCTGCGATTGCAATAAGATAAAAGTGTATAAAAGTTTTCTACACATTTCCTCGAAGAATTCTAACTTACTTTTACTTTTTAAAAATTTCATATAACTCGTGTAATTATTCAAATATCCTATTTTTACGTTTGCAATCAATTGAACACGTATTGATGAATTACAATTAACTTAAAATTATAAGAAATTCTCGACACAAAATTATCCCTCGAGATTTTCCTTTCAGAAAAATTCTAACTGTAAGCTCTCCATCCTTCTTTTGTAACATAATTTGATTAAATTCTTCTTTTCCATCAAGGAGGAAAGGGAAAAGGATGAAAGTTTCTTCTAAGTTTCTTAAGGAATTATCCTCGAGATTTTCCTTTCAGAAAAAATTCTAACTGTAAGCTCTCCATCCTTCTTTTGTAATATAATTTGATTAAATTCTTCTTTTCCATCAAGAAGGAAAGGGAAAAGGATGAAAGTTTCTTCTAAGTTTCTTAAGGAATGGAAGGAGATCGCGATCGAGTTTTAGGCGGTCTCGATCGCAATCAAGGCGCCGATTCCTCGCATTGTCGCGCTCTTACACCTTGTTGTTCGCAACTTGTTCCGATTATTATGATATACACGCGCGGAGACCTGTACGCGAATCGCCTTGGAAAATCTCGCGGTGAAAGGCAGTATTATTAATTTGCACGGATCGGTAATCGATCTTCGCCGCAAAAATCAATGCGTTCCCGATATTCTCGCAACGCCGCATAACCGAATAACCGTGTCATTAAAAACGAGCTTGCGAGCGCAGTGCAACGTGTCTCGAACTCGACAGAGTTAAGAGACAGCGTTATGCGTTGTAATCGCGTTAAAAATCTCGCCACTTGGAACGTGGAAAAGATCGCAGGTGCGATATCATCGGATTTTTTTTCTTTTTTTCTTTTCTTCTGAATTCTAAACGGATAACTCAGATGTCGAACTTGTGTATCCATTGTTTTTGTTGACTCTGTTGTGTCAAGCTGATAAGTAATGTAGCAATATTATCGTAATAATGGTAAAGAAAAGAAATTTAGTTGTCTTCCTCTTTTATTTAAGATTACGATAATTTTTGTTGAATGAAAATGAAAAACGATTCGAATGAAGTTTAACAGTAAAATTTGTAACAGTAATAATCGGTTTGGTAATTACAAATGTGCAAGACAAAACGTTAGAAAATTTATTGTCGATCATAATTATAATCGAAAGTAAAAATTTGCTTTATTTATTGAAAAATTTCAACAAATGAAAGATTTCATCAATATATCGAAATATTTTCTCATTCTAGAAATCATCGATCATTTTGATTGAACGTGAAAAAAAGATCATATTAAAAGGATAAACTAAACGTAAGATATCGAAAAAGTTAAGAGGAAAAGGATATATATTTTATGTTATTAAAATTTGTTAAATTATCGACGATTCGAATCGTGAAATTTCTCTTCTTGCGTATTCGCGGTTATCACGTGAGAATAGTGCGGCAATTACACCCACAATGCTCCTCATAGGCGATGATTTAAATCAGCGGATAGTTATCATTGTGCACGAGTTATACGACACGTGGAAAGAATTACTTGTTGTCACGGTAAGTTGTATTTATGAGAACGTTACTTTAACACCTGCTGGGCGAACAAACGTGACATTATTTCGCCAAAGAAATTAGAATTTAAATCGCACAAGAATTTTAAGAAAAGAATTTTTGAGAAAGAAATATCAGGCAAATCTCTGAGCGATCACTTATCGAAGGAAAGATAATATATATCAACTTTTTTTAAATATTATCGAGTGAATTGAAAATCGTAGTTTTATAATCCTGAAAGATTTATTGTATCCACTATTACCTTTCCTTTCATTTTATCCCCAAACACAACTAAAATAGAAGAGATTACATCCCATACATCGAATCATACATCAAGCGTTCAAATTCCCTAATAAATTACCAGATACAACATACACCTGTACATATATATATATATATATATATATATACACACACACATATTCCTCTCATATTCCCCAACATATTCAAATTCATCGATGAAATATCATGCTAGTTACCTTCTTTCACCCACGTTCAAACCCAGTGAAATATCACACGTGTCATATTATTACTTTGTCACCTTTCCGTTTACTCTACAAGCGCCACGAACGAATTAATAACACGAAGTTGATCAATATGTATATATATATATATATATATATATATACACAATTTTCGAACGTCCAATCGATCGATCAAAGTGGAGTCGATCGAAGATAGATGGTGTTTGAAAAAAGAAGAAAAAAGGGCGAACTCACCGCGACGAGGGTGCTGAGAGCTTCAATTCGCATAGTAGCTGGCCAGGCCAGCGGGGAGGCCGTAGGTTCCAAGCTGTTGGACCGATCACGCGTGTCGATCCACGATTATTGCACGGCGATCTTCCGTTTTCACTCGAGCCAGGTATTCGACAGGCGATCCGATTCTCCCGGTTCTACGTCGATTTCTCGCGATCCGTTCTGCAGTTCCGGTGACATGGCTCCTCCGCCGATCTGAAAATATTTTACGTTGTATATATATATATATTTTTGTGAATATATTTTATTAACAGTTGGTAGCACTGTTAACTAGGGGATAATCGAATATCATTAATATTGATTGAGTTATGTTATTTAATTATTAAATAAAATTTAATAAAAACTTGTAAATAATCCTTTAAAGTAATACTTCAGAGAGAATATTTTTCTTTTCTTAATTATTTCAATCATTTTTATCGTTATTGTTATATGCGTTATATTTCAATAATAATTATGATGTATTTTTTAAAACAATGTCATTTTAAAAGTTGTCTATTTATCTGAGTATTGAATGTGATATAAATGATTTAATTGATTGGATCAATTTTTTATTGTCAGGATTAAATCGAATAGCTTGATCTGGATCGTTCAATATTTCTAACTATTAATCTACATTAATATCTATATTTTTCTTCTACATATTTATTACTTATCTCTTTCGCGTAATATATTATATTACATTTTCCTTCTTAAATATCCTTCATTGGTATTATCTATATTTTATTATAATTTGAATAATTCAATCCATTGCATTCTATATTTCTACTTTTTTTCATCTATTTTTTATTACTATTAAAATAAAAAAAAGAGACATATCTCGAGGAAATTCAAGAATATACAATAATTGAAAAAAAATAAAACATTCAAATTACAATACATTTTAATTTATCGAATTGAAGAAATTTCAATTGTATCTAAATATTTTTTTTATTTTCAGAAAACATCATACCTTACGCATCTAATCTAATCCGACATTGAATCTCGATCTATCATTCAACTTCATCCAATTTCAATCCGTTACAAATTCGTATCAAATATAATTTAACAGAGGGATTAAATACCTCTCTCGCGAATGAAATCGAATTAAAATTAATTTCTGATATTAATTTTACTTCAACTTTTTACTGCCAATCTATATCTAATTTATATAATTAGAATAATTTTTGCACGGTGATTTAAAATTACGTATATCACGGTGTTAAGTGACGATGTTAAGAGACGACACGATCGCGACGACACGTTGCGCTAGACTGGATCGATCTTTAAGATTTACCGATAAAAGTAACGAGGGTAGAGTTAAACGCCGGCGTTTCGAATAAAAAAGGAAAAAAAAAAAAATTAATACACGTTTCGTCACACGTTGGACGTGTCATCGATAATATCGATGCGAATCGATATCTTATCTCAACGTGATTGATACCAATTACGTTCTTGTACGGCATGCACTGACCTATCAAAGTGATCCATTCACCTTTCGAATATAGTATCATTAATATCTTCCTTCGGACAAAGGTTCTTGACTCTTAACATTCTTTGTATTTTACACTTGTTATCTACGGTAGGTAATTAAGTCATCCTATGGCCAATTTTAAATTTTAATAAGAAGGATTATTTCTTGCAGTTGAGATGACTTTTTAATTCTCTTTTCAAATATACATCTATAACTTGAATATATCTATAATTGTTTAAACTTATTAATTTTATTAATTTTATGCGATTTTTAAATAATTATTTGATTATTATTAGATTTGAATATCTGTAATATTATTCTCTTAAAATAGTTTATAATTTTCATTCAATTAATTCTTAATTGATTTCCATGTCACTATTGACATAAATAAGCTATTTACGCTAATAATTATATATATTATTACACTTAATTATTGATATTTAAACAAAAGCGATTCATAGAATTGGTGGGCAGTTTCGAGATCACGAAAGTAGTATCTACGATTTCTCTCTCGATTGCCGGTGTTGATAAGCTTATGCACCTATAGAATGGCGAGTATTAGATGCTGGTAAACGCTGCCGCTCCCAGTATCATTCGTTATATGAGTTAATGACTCTCGAGAAATCATCGATTGGTCCGTCTTGAAGCCGCGACGCCTCTTATACCGTGTAAACACGCCTTCTCACATAATATAATGGACGAGAGTTATTAAATTTCGATCGTGGCGAATCTGAATTAAAGAATTAATAACGATAAGAATTATTATTTCAATATCAAATATACTCATTGTAATGAATATGATCTGGGTATCTGAATCTTCAATATCTAAATATCTGAATACTCGAATATTCGAATTTGAATTTGGGTACTCGAATATTTCAATCTGAATCTGAGTACTCGAATATTTGAATCTGAATCTGAGTACTCGAATATATGAATCTAAATCTGAGTACTCTAATATTCGAACTTTTTGAATCTGAAATAATTGGATTGAATTTCGAATATTTGAACTTAAATCTGAGTAGTCGAATATTTGAATCTGAATTTGAGTACTCGAATATTCGAACTTTTTGAATATGAAATAATTGGATTGAATCTCGAGTATTTGAACTTAAATCTGAGTAGTCGAATATTTGAATCTGAATCTGGATACTCGAATATTCGAACTTTTTGAATCTGAAATAATTGGACTTGAATCTCGAATATTTGAATATGAATTCGAGTATTCGAATATTCGAACTTTTTGAATTTGAAATAATTGGACTGAATTTCGAGTATTTGAACTTAAATCTGAGTAGTCGAATATTTGAATCTGAATCTGAGTATTCGAATATTTGAATCTGAATCTGAGTATTCGAATATTCGAACTTTTTAAATTTGAAATAATTAAATTTGAATCTCGAATATTTGAATTTGAATCTGAATTCGAGTATTCGAATATTCGAACTTTTTGAATATGAAATAATTGGATTTGAAACTTGAATATTCGAATTTGAAGTTGAATATTTTGAATCTGAGTACACAAAGATCTGTACATGAAATTGAAATTGAAAAATTGAAAAGTATTCGAATTTATATCCGAATATTTAAATTCAGATATGAAAATCAAATGGAAGGAAAACTTGTGAAATCTCGAAGCGAACTTTATTTCAATATTCGAACACAATATTACAAACATCGAAGAGATTAATTTTATAACTACGTAGATGAATAAACTACGTAGATCTATTAAAAGCGGAATAAGGAAGGTAAAATAATAATTGCGATGAAGAAAATGAAGATTTATTGCGCGATTCCCGTGGAACCAGTTTCAAGCTCAATGACAAAAAATTCGACGTAACTCGGAGGACTTCCATCTGGACAGACTCTACAATGAAATATCATATTCAATAATTATTGAAATCTGGTTATAGATCATGAAAATGGATTATTAATTTTCTACTTTATCGAGGCGAAGGTATTTAACGAGTCAATGCTATCGATAGATCGATTAATAAATCCGTGTTACACGAGTAAATTATTCGATAAGAAAGAAACAGGATGAATAAATCATGGAATTTTTATCCGTTTATATTATAATTATAGGCTTAATTATAGGCTGTAAGGTTATAATCGAATAATAGAGATATTTCCTTGGCATTTTTTGTGACACGAGGTGAGAGATATTGCGACATTGTGGAACAAGATCGTGAAACAGAGAAAGGTTTCAAATATCATCGTGGACACGAAACCATTCTTTTATTAGAATGCTTCTTGTTTTTGCATAATCTCTTTGCATAATTTGCATCATCTCGTTTTCTCTCGAAACAATATTCCACGCCGATCCATTATTACTCCGATCGAGATCTATTTTTGAAATCCAGGGATTTCCCTGTTTCGAAACGATTGTGAAATCGAACGAACACCCGATGTCGCTTCAAAATTGTGAAATTGTGATTGATATTAAATATTTATCACCCTAATTATTTTCTATTTTTTTATATTTTGAATGCTAAATAAATTAAAGAAAAATTATTCAAACAATGGTTACTCGATGTAAAGTAGAACGAAAATTTCATTTCAAGAGATTAATAAAAATTAATCTCTTCGATGTTTGTAATATTGTGTTCGAATATTGAAATAAAGTTCGCTTCGAGATTTCACAAGTTTTCCTTCCATTTGATTTTCATATCTGAATTTAAATATCGTTGTTAAAAAAAAAAAAAAAAGATCGATACATCGTCATCATTCGATGTATTTCCTCCTATAACGCATTACATTCGTTCTACGAATGTAAATGTGTGTTAAACGAAACCTAGAATCAATACAAATCAGTGTAAACAAAAATTACATATGCGATATAGGAAATATTCCTTCACACGATTGATGAAGATTGCCCATTAAGCCGTGTTTTCACAGTCGCGTTACAAGAAGATTGACCAAACAATCTTACTCTCTTACAAAATAACACGATAAATGACAAATAATCTCATTCGTTCAAACTCAAATTTCCTCGAATCGAGAGGAAATTTAATCTCGATCAACCAGTTTCTATTATCCTGTTATCATACCTGTCATCGATCGAACATCTCTCTTTCAATTGATGCCATAAGAATCGATTGTTTCCTTCCACGTAACAATCGTGCTCGTTCTGTGAATCAATGAACGCGCGTAATCGTCAATATAATTTTGGATAGTGACGTTGGAAACACGTAATCGATGTAAGTCATGGATCATCATCGATAAAAGCAGATAACATTTGGCAGACGATCCATTATCGAGCCTTCCTCCATCGATGATAATTATAACTGAAAATATTATCTTTTTTACGCACGAATATTCTTTCGTGAGACGATTCATTCACGAGATTGAATTCCTTTTGTTTTTTTACAATGATTGAGCGAATTGAGAAATCGTAAATAGTAAAGAGTATAATTGAATGTTTGAAGAAATTGTGGATTTAAATCGTTTTAAAAGCAATCGAGAGAAGCATAGATATTTTTCTATCGGCTGTTGGAAGGAGACCGAAAAATTTTTCCCGCGATTGAATTCAAAATAGAGTTCGAAGATCGAAGTTTTACTCATCTAAAAATTAACTGCATGATTTTTATTTCTAGTTAGTAACTTTGAATATAGAATATTAAGTTTCACGCAATTTTCTATGCTTCAATTCCAAGAAAATCGACGATTGGCCAATCGAAGATACACGAATCGGAATTCTGAATCTCATTTTTCTTCCGAAGGCCTCCACGAGTCTAAGTGTACA